AAATACTGGGAAACCACATCCAACAACACATTAAAAAGATCATCCACCATGATCAAGTGAGATTCATCCCAGGGATGCAAGGATGGTTCAATATTCACAACTTAATAAATGTAGCACATCACATAAACAAAAGAAAAGACAAAATTCACATTATGATATTAATGGATGCGGAAAAAGCATTTGATAAGGTACTACATCCATTTATGATAAAACCGATCAGCATTGTGAGAACAGAGGGAGCATACCACATCATAATAAAGGCCATATATGAGAAACCTGAGGCCAACATCATCCTCAACAGGCAAAACTAAAAGCTTCCTACTAAGATCAGGAACAAGACAATGGTGTCCACTTTTACCTCTTCTAGTCAACACAGTATTAGAAGTCCTAGCCACAGTGATTAGACTGAAAAAGAAATAAAAGGCATCCAAATTGGAAAGGAGGAAGTAAAACTGTCACTGTTTGCAGATGCGATGTTGTAGAACTGTGAATTTGAAACGTGTATAATTTTGTTTGAATCAGTGTCACCCCAATAAATTCAATAATATTTTTTTAAAAAGAACTCTATGTGAGCTACCTTCATCAGAAGGAACAATAAAAGAATAATGTGTATACCAAAAGGAGAAGAGAGGGAGAAGGGAAAGAGAACCTAGTCAAACAAATAATAGACAAAAACTTCCCAAACCTACAGAAATAACTGGATCCTCAATTCAACAAGATAACAAAACACCTAATTATCAAAATTCAAAAAAATCTTCTCATTGTATTAAAACTGTCAAAAGTTAATGATAAAGAAGGAATTCTGAAGGTAGGCAAGGAAAAGAAGACTATGACCTACTAAAGGAATCCCATTAGACTATGATTGGAATTTCACCAGAAATCCTATAAGGCTAGGTGAGAGTATAATCAAGTATCCAAATAACAGAGAAATCACCACCTAAGAACATGAGGCCTTTCCAGATAGTATCCATACATGTAATAGAAAAAGTATAGACATTTAATGAAGGTACAATATACAAGAAACATTGTACATAGGACAATGGCGCCTCTGTACCCTTTCAAGTAGGTACCTTGGGACCTCACACGGTTCTCCCAATCACCATGAGCTGCCCCATCTTAGTTTCCTGAATCTCATCCATGGTCTGAAATCTCTTGCCTTTCAAAGGTGATTTTAGTTTTGGGAAAAGCCAGAAATTGCAGGGCGCCAAATCTGGACTGTTGGGGAACCAAAAAACTGAATGAGCCATGATGCAAGAGCGGGCACATTGTTGTGATAAAACTGCCAATCACCCCAGCTGCCCATAGGTGAGGCCATTTTCACTGTATTGTATTTCTCAACCAACAAAGAACACTAAGGGAGTACTCCTTCTGTTTGGCCTGGAGGGGCATACTCATGATGGACAACACCTTCCTAATCAGAAAACACAATAAATATAGTCTTGATCTTGCTGCATACTTGCCGTACCTTCTTTGGGCATGGAGAACCAGGTGACTGCCTTTGGGATGACTGGGCCTTTGTTTCCAGATCATAGCCGAAGACCCACAATTCATCTCTGGTTATGACCTTCTTGAGGAAATCCGGTTCATTGATAGTGGTTTGTTGGGGACCACTTTGTGTGGTGTATCAGGAATTGGAGCCCTATGAAAGAATGCACTGTATCCACTGAAGCTTGCTCTGCTTTGCACTGCGGTGATAAGGAAAAACCAGGTGTTTTATTTCACCACAAGGAAGTAATCCGAGCCCCGAAAACTGAATGAGCATCTGGCACCAACTTGTCTGACATACCTTGATTTCAGACAAACCTCTGTATTTCTTCAATTTATTATTTATAGCCTTTTGATGTAGATTGATGAGCTTTGCCCACATGCTGTATAGCCCTTCATGCATTTTGTTCTCAATAAAAGCCACTTCAGGAGGTCTCGGGGCATTCTCCACTAGAGAGAATCACCACCCCCTTTTCCTGGCATACTAAGAGTGTCTGGAACGATTTATTTTCCTCCATCCGTGGTGGCTTGGGGAGACTCTGCTGGGCGGAGCACCCCCCTCCTACAGAGGTTTGGATCAAGTCATTATCAACTGCAGCTTGATGTTCCTTCTGCTCTGGTAGCACAAGACACGGAATGATTTTTGCCGTAACATGTTTCACGCCAAGATCCTGCGTCAAAATATCAGACACAGTAGTTTTTGGAATTCCCAGATTAGCTCCTAGTTCTCACCCTGTCAACTACTGATCTCTGTTGAATGCAGCCTGTACATGTTCATGGATTGGAATATCAACAGTTAAAATGGCCACATCACCTAAAGCAATATACAGATTTAATGCAATTCTTGTCAAAATCCCAATGGCATTTTTAAAAGAAGTAGAATTTTAAAAAATCATCAAAGATGTAGAGAACTATAAAAGATCCCAAATAGCCAAAGTGATTCAGAAAGAAAAAGAACAAAGCCAGAGGTATTACACTCCTTGATTTCAAATTATACTACAAAGATGTAATAATCAAAACACTTGGGGAAAAAAACACTCAGGTCAATGGAATAGAATTGAGAGTCCATAAATAAACCCATACACATACATGAAACTAATTTTTGGCAAAGGAGTCAAATACGTAAAATGGAGAAAAGAAAGCCTCTTCAATAAGTGGTGCTGGAAAACTGGATAGTCACATGCAAAGGAACAGACTGCTATTTGATACCATATACAAAAATTCACTCAAAATGGATCAAAGAACTACATATAAGACCTAACAGTAAAATACATAGAAGCATAGGTACTAAACTTATGGCTCTTGGTCTCAGAGGATTTTATAAATTTGACCCCAGAGGCAAGAAAAGTAAAAGCCAAAATAAATTGAGTAGGACTATATCAAACTAAAATCTGTGCACACCAAAAGAAAATGCCAACAAAACAAAAAAGTCAACCAAATGAATGGGAGAAAACATTTGCAAACAGTATCTCCAATAACAGGCTAATATACAAAATATAAAAATAATTCATACACCTGACCAAAAAACATAATCAATTAATAAATGGGCAGAGGACCTGAATAGATACATCTCCCAATAAGACATACTAATGGCCAACAGATTTTTAAAAAGATGCTCAACTTTTCTAGTGATGAGAGAAAAGCAAATCAAGGAGAGAGCACCCCACACATATTAGGATGGCTATTATCAACAAGACAGGAAATAACAAATGTTGAAGAGGATGGGGAGAAAAAAGAGCTCTTATACACTGCTAAGTGGAAATGTAAATTGGTATAATCACTATGAAAAACAGCACAGAGATTCCTCAAAAAATTAAGAATCGAGCTACCATAGGACCCAGACAATCCCTCTTTTGGATTATCAACCCAAAAATTCTGAAAACATTTATTTGTAAAGATGTATATATAACCCTATGTTTATTGCAGCATTTTCATGGTGGCCAAAATGTGAAAATAAATGCCCTTTGATGGATTACTGGAAAAGAAGATATGGTAAACATATACAATAGACTACTACTCAGCCATAGGAAAAAAAGAAACATTGTCATTTGACTCCTGAGAACATCATGCTAAGAGAAACACGTCAGCAGGAAAAATAATCATGACTTCATTCATATGTGGGATATAAAACAGAAAGCAACAAACAATTCACTGACACAGACAACAGTATGATGGTTAGCAGAGGGGAAGGGAGGTGGGGAAAGTAAGAGGAGGGTAAAGGAAGCCAAAATCATGGTGATGGAAGGAGACTTGATTTGGGGTGGTGAAAACACAATGCAATATACAGATAATGGGTATAGAATTATACAGTTCAAACTAATTAGCTAATGCCACTCCAATAAATTTAAAAATTAAACCATGCACCCAGGATAATGTACTATATATATTAGAAAACAGTTCAATGAAGACAATGAATGCACAGGATAAGAGACATTCTTTTCCTTCAGAATAAACACGCAGTCAGGTCCTAAAACCTTAAATTTTCTCACCCAATTGGACGAATTATTGTTGTTTTGATTAATGAAATATTTTTCAGATCCAGATTTTAAATCTAGTCCCAACTTTAACTCAGTAATACTTCTTGGCTTAATTAAGTTCTAAGGATTTGGTTTAATAGTGAACATAGAAGCTTAACAGTAAGTTCTCTGTTCCGGAGTTTCATATGAACTGTGCTGCTTCTGTGGAATTCCAGTAATTTAAACATGGCTATTAAAGCCATAAATTAGCAGATCAAAGGTAATAAACAACAATACTTTTTGCTTATTAGATCAATGAAGAGTGTATCCATGTATTCAATGAAGTGAGTAGAGATCTGGAACTGCCTGAAGATAGAACAAAGGAAACTTTGCAAGAGAAGAATTTGAGCTCAAATTAGACTGCCAGGGCTCAAATCCTGACTCCACCACTAACAGTTTGTAACCACAGGTACATTATTTTGCATCAGTTTCTTCATCCTAAAAATGATCAAAGCATTATTTACTTTGGAGGGCTGTTGTTAGAATTTGATGAAATAATTCACATCTTGGATATATCACAGGTACTTAATAGATGTTAGCTATTTTTATTACTAATCTAAGGATTTTTCCTTTGAAGCATTTTACTGGGTACAGTGAAGAATACAACAAAAATGTAAAGGCCAGTAAAACCCAAGATCCAATATAACTACTGTTTCTAACTTTAATTTGAGGTTCTGCCACAGTAAAGATGTTTACTCACATATGGTTCAAAATTACATAGCTTAGGACTGGTACAGCTCACAGTTAAAAAGTCATTTAGGTTCTTCATACCCCAGTCCTCTGTGCAGACTCTAAACTCCCTCCTTAACTGTGTTCCTACCAATTAGGCTACAGGATAGTAGACATACATACTCAGAATACTGTATTTTATATTTAGGCCAGAAGAGAGTAGGCATATAAAATCTGAGAATTATGTACCCATAAATTATATGAATATACCAGGAGGATATGCAGTTGTAGTCATGAGAAAAAGGACACCCACATAAATCAACATATTACCTTAACTTTAATAAGCTTCCGAGGATTTCTTCTCCTACACCGGTTAACTTCAATGCTGCGTCTGTTTTTGGGTGCTGCCATCCAAAAGATACTATCCAAAAGGATGGGAATATCCTTACTTCCATTAGTATCATTTGCTGGTTCTGTAAATATAGTTGAACCTTGGACAGCTAATGCTGGTTCTACAAAATAAAATATGGAGATTCAGAGTCAGTTTTAGCTTCTAAATGACTATCCACAGATATAATTCTCCTTAATCAACAGTGGTATGAAAACATACATATTTATACTTTAGACTATTACAATCAATAGAGTTCCGGCCAAGATGGAGGCATAGGTAGATACACTCTGCCTCATCATACAACCAAAAGGACAACAAATTTAAAAACAAAAAACAACCAGACTGCCAGAAATCCGAACTGTATGAAAGTCTGACAACCAAGGAGTTAAAGAAGAAACATTCATCCAGACTGGTAGGAGGGGCGCCGACAGGCAGCCCAGGCAGAAACAAGGAGTGGCTAGGCAGAGGCTGGAGGACTGGGCAGGGAGGCAACGTAGCAGCTGGAAGACAGAGTAGTCCCACACTTGCGTGTGGATAAACCAGGAGCTGGAAAGCGAGACAGACCTCTCAACTCAGGGATCCACTGCGGGAAAAGTAGGCCTCAAAACCTTTGGATGTAAAAATCTATGGGGGATGCAGCAGCAGGAGAAACTCCCAGTCTCACAGGAGAGAGTTCACTGGAGAGACCCACAGGGTCTAGAAGTACACAAACCCAACCACCCAAGAATCAGCACCAGAAGGGCCCGATTTGCTTGTGGGTAGTGGGGGAAGTGACTGAAAGCTGGTGACAGCTGAGCAGGTGGCATTGTTCCCTCTTGGACCCCTCCCCAACACACAGCATCACAATCCAGCAACCTGGATTGCCCCATCCTGGATAATACCTAAGGTTCCGCCCCTTCCAATATAACGGGCACACTGAGACAAATAAATGCGGTCCAGATGAAAGAACAGATAAAAGCTCCAAAAATAGAACTAGGCGATGAACAGAGAGCCAACTTATCAGATGCACAGTTCATAAGACTGGTAATCAGGATGCTCACAAAAAATAGTTGAGTATGGTCGCAAAATGGAGGAAAAAATGAAGGCTATGCAAAATGGAATAAAGAAAAATACACAGGGAACCAACAGTAAAGGGAAGGAAATCGGAACTCAAATCAACGATTGGAGCAGAAGGAAGAGATAAACATTCAACCAAAACAGAATGAAGAAACAAGAATGCAAAAAAAAGGAGGAGAGGCTTAGGAACATCTGGGACAACTTTAAAGGTTCTAACATCTGAATCACAGGGGTGCCAGAAGAAGAAGGGGAAGAGTAAGAAATTGAAAACTTACTTGAAAAAAACAAGGGAGGAGAATTTCCCCAATCTGGCGAAGGATATAAGACTTCCAGGAGATCCAGGAGGCTCAGAGAGTCCCAAAGAAGTTAGTCCCAAGGAAGCACACACTAAGGCACATCATAATTACTTACCCAAAATTAAAGATAAGGAGACAACCTTAAAAGCAGTAAGAGAAAAGGAGACAGCTACCTACAAAGGAGTTCCCATAAGACTATCAGCTAATTTCTCAAAGAAATCTTGCAGGCAAGAAGGGGCTGGCAAGAAGTATCCAAAGTCATGAAAGACAAGGACCTATACCCAAGGTTACTTTATCCAGCAAAGCTATCATTTAGAATGGAAGGGCAGATAAAGTACTTCCCAGATAAGGTCAAGTTAAAGGAGTTCATCATCACCAAGCCCTAATTACATGAAATGTTAAAGGGACTTATCTAAGAAAAGGATGAAGACCAGAAACTATGAACAGTAAAATGAGAACAAAGTCCCAACTATCAACAACTGAGGCTTAAAAAGGAAAAAAAAAAAAAAAAAAAAAAAAAAAAAGGACAAGGAACTAAGCAAACTAGAACAGGAACAGAATCACAGAAATGGAGATAGAGGGGAAGGGGGAAGAGGAGGGGGAAGAATGGGTGAAAAGCTACAGGGAATAAACATAAGTAATACCTACAAAATAGGGAGAGGTTAAGGATAGTATAGGAAATGTAGAAGCCAAAGAAGTTATATATATGGCCCATGGACATGGACTAACAGTGGGGGAGGGAATGAATACTGGTGGAAGGGGGTGTGCAGGGCAGAGGGGAATAAAGGGGACAAAAAAAACGGGAAAACTTGAATAGCCTAAGCAATAAAATATATATTAAAAAAAGTACATTCAATAGACATTTAACAGAAAATCTTAGCTATTAAATTATATTAAAGTTCATATATAAAGCAAATTTAAAGAACACAAATATGTTTTTCTTAGAGGCACCTGCTGAAATGAATCCGTGAAATTCTACCAAGAGTTTCTCACCTTATGAAAAACACCTCTGGTATTTAGTGGTAAACATTAAGTCTGAGGCACATAATTTGAATAAAACAAAGCAAAAAAAAAAAAAAAAAAGAAAAGAAAAAGAAAACCATCATTCAACTGTCCATATCCAGCTGGTGTCCATATACAACTCTAACCAACACTGAGATAACTGCTTACTGACCCCTTTTTATAATATTCAAACTGAGTTAGTTTCTTTGTCATTCACTTGTAAGTTGGCAGGCCCTATTTACAGGTCAATTAGTTCATAATATTTAACCTTGATTCCTGTCCATTCTATAAGAAGAAAAAAAAAAAAACAACAAAAGTATTTCACCACTCTTTGTATGATAGTAATTTGTGACCACCAACATTTCACTTTTGTTTCTCTAAATTGTTTATAAACTCAAATAGATTCCTTAACCCTCTTCTTGCTATTCCTCATACTTGCAATACTTCTTTCGATTTTAGGAAATCATAAGGATATAGAAAGCTTTTTAACACTTAACAACTGGTATTCCCTTTCAATATATCTAAAAGTATTTCTAAGCATAGCCCGGTACTTAACAGAACAGACTTCGGAAGGCGTGTTTAACCTTGGGAGCTTTTCAGCCTACTTCATCAGTTAAAAGGTGGGGATGTCTAATGGGATTGTTCTGGAAATCCTCCCAGGAAGCACAGGTAGGCTTCTGGCATATAGTGAGTGGGCTGTCAGTTCAGGCTGCCTGGGTTAATTACCATGTTTGGGGCACCTTCGAAAAGGAGTAGAATGTAAATACCAAAGCAATGACAATTTTAGTATCTAAGAAGCTTCCAATTAAAATGTTTCCAGGGGAAACAAGGGTGAGACAGGATAGTGAGAAGCTATGAAAATTCCTTGGCAAGTGGCATAGGGAAACTGAGACAGACTGCTGTACACAATGGCGGGGTAATTTACAGCCAGTTGCAGACAATCACCAGGGCAGAAGACCTGGCATGCGCAAAACTGGGGGGGGGGGGGGGGGGGGGAAGAACCTCACCCCCAGGGCAACCCTTGGCCTTTCCTCTATGGAGATAACCTCTAAGCCTCAGTTGTACTTCAGCTCAAGGCCCAGAAAAGCAGCAAAATCAGGTGGGCCACACGAGGACCAGCTGCAAAGACTGAAGACCCCCGCCACTGGCCAATCAGTGGACACCAAGACCCTAGAAGGACACGTCTAGAGAACTAATAAATATTCTACTGAAATCCTCCCTTTAGACATCCCCTAAGATTCCCACCCACAAGAAAGAGAGAAAAGCTTTAAGACTAAGGACACAGCTCCCCCATGCTCTCCCTGTGGAGAGCCATTTCCTTTCCTTTCTGCCCGCCCCACGCCCGCTTCTTTCTTCACAGGCACACATCTCTTAAACTCTAAGGCAATGGGCATGTGCTGGCTTGTCCCAGACTAATTCCCTGAACCCGTCCCTAAAGCCCCCTTTCTTCTGACATCCCAGGGAGTTAAGGCAGGCAAGCCAAAGCTCTCCTGTTGCTTCCTCTATGCTAAGGCCTTCCTTGTGTCATTGTCCCCAGCTTTAATAAATGTATCCTCATAATCCCCTAGACTCGTGCTGCGAAATCCTCTCTACACAAGTCAAGAACCCATAAACAGGCAGACCCACTCAGGGATAGGTCCCTGGCCAGTAAATACGGGGATCTGGATTCAACTGCACAGAGCTCAAATACCACAAAAGATGAAGAATTACTTTACGGTGTGGGAGGACTAGAGAGGAAACATAAAAAGAATCCAGATAGTGATGGCTCTAGATGCTAAACTAGTGAGCTTGGCTACCATTCTGTGTAGGAATGTGACAAAGGACTTTTTTCTTTACTGCGAAGAGGAAGCAGAAAAAAACAGCTGTCGTTTGTTCCTAAGTAAATGTCCTTCACAAGGTTTCCTAACGTAGATCGAACGCGGGGAAAAAGCAAGAGTTTGAATTGAGCCCACCACGCTGCCTGGGGTTACTTCATCCACCCCTTCTGTAGCCGGTCTTTTTTTACGTACCCCACGGAGGGCTGGGAACACCTGGCCTGTTCTCCAGAAATTTCCGTTGCAGTAGCTCCCAACAGTTCCGGAAGAGTCGGGCTAGGGGCCGTGGAGATACCACCAACATCAACATGGCCGCCAACCTCTTCCCTGTCCTCCCAGGATCACTCCTCCTTGGCTGGTGAGTCCCGCCCTTGCCCCAGTACGCTCACAGACGCGAAGTCCGACAAATTCGGCTAGAACTACAAAGTCCAGCTTGCCGCTGGAGCGGCTCTGACTCTCCTCCAATCAAGGAGAGAGAAAGGAAAGCGCGGGGCGGGAAGTGAAAAGAAGCCGGCTGCAGTGCGCAGGTGTGTGGACGTGCTTTGACTCTTCGGGTGAAGATGGCGGAGCGCGGTTACAGCTTTTCGTTGACTACGTTCAGGTATGGGAATCTTCCGTGTAGCTGAAGTTGTAGGATATTCGCCGACTGGATTTTTTTACGTCTTGGTCTCTGGCTCGGTACTTTCAGAGGGCCCAGTATAGAAAAAGGGTGGAAATGCGACTTTGCAAAGTCATTTGTCGGCCCGCCTGTGGCGTGGGCAGCTGCGGTCGTGGGAGGCCGCGGGACGGCTGATCGGCGAATTACGGACGACCCTGGGCCTGTGGGAGGGTCCGGCCCTCAGCTAGGGATTTTCTTTTGGTTTGGAGAGTACAGAAAAACGGTAGCTTTAGCTGAGCCGTGTCCGGGTGTCCCGTTCGGAACTCATATTTCCTTTCTGGCCCATGTAGGCCTGATTCCGGAGCTTCTGGAACTCGGAATGTTGGTCAAATCTCAGAAAGACTCAACTTTACAATTTGGTCTGAGTCTCCTTTTGGTACTAGTGTCTTTCGAAATCTCCTGCTTTCGGTTTCTTCGATGTCCCTGTTAGAAGCCTGGAAGCTAAAAATGAAAGTCCTAAGCTTTCTATCACCTAGTATTTGTGGATCCCCAGCTAGTAGGCTATATTTGCGTTTTGGCCTTTTTCTTTTGGAGGTTGGTATGTTTCCTTTAAAAAAGATTGTAGGCTTTTCTACTTTAGAACAAGGGGTTAAAATATACTCAGAACAATTGACATTTATATCGTTTCCAGTGTTAGAAAAGAATTATCGAAGATTTAGTAAACCGACGGGGAGGGTTCAGTTTGACCATTTCGTTACCTGTCAGTGAGTCCCCATTTAATTAAAATGTATTATTATCTGACGGCTGAAGGCAGGCGGGATAGCTTGTGGATTACTTTCAGTGTGGGTGCAACTGAACCATCATCATCTGTTTCCATGACGATGTGTGACATACGGTATTTCAACCTTACAGATGAGCTAAGCAGAGGTGGGGCAAATAAAATAATTTGTCCAGGCTCATAAATGAATATCTGTGTTAACATTCACGCTGGGCTCTGATGACAACATTTATATACTTCATTATTAGATGATGTTTTATTAAAATCCTAAAATACCTTCCTTGCTCTTGACATTTTTCAATAATTGAGGGTATGTGTTTTTTTAAACCTTTGAATGAAATTAATTTAATTCTGTAGTAAAGGTTTTAATCGTATACAATGATAAAGAATATTTGCCAAGTAGTCACTTTGTATTTGTGAACAAAGCAAACCTGTTCCTTTATTTTTGAGAAATTTTGCTAGTGGAGCTGAAATGTAAAACAATCATATATCATCAGGGACTGAATCTTTTTAAAATAAATTTCTTTAGTAAAATAAACTAATTTTTTAAACATGATGGTTCAACTCTTAGATTTTCAAAAACACTTGTTTCTAGCCTGTTGTAATGAGAATTAAATTATTAGTGGTGTGACAAGAGACTATACTATAGGATGAAAAAATATTCTTTCTTAACTTTTATTTATTGATTTAAGAGAGAGTGAGAGAGAGAAATGTTGATTTGTTGTCCCACTTACTTAGCATTCATTGGTTGATTCTTGCATGTGCCCTGATGGGAATTGAACCCACAACCTTGGCTTATCAGGACAACTCTCTAACCAGCCGAGCTACAGCAAGGGCCAAAAAGGTATTCCTGTGTATTATATGCAATTGGGGCTATTGACAGTAAACGAGTAAACATATTGGTGCCTGTAATTGCATTCAGAAAAATGTTTTTCCCTTGTGAATTTTTTCAGAAAGGGCATTAGATTCGGTAGTCATAGTTAGGAAAGGCCAGTGCTTGGGGATGATTTTTGAGATTGTAAGATGAAAAAGAGACAACTGTTTGATGATTTAGGTGTAGAGAGAGTTGCAGACAAAGGGAAGGGCATGCATGAAAGTCCTAAAGTTGGGAAAGAGCTTTAACTCTTTTTTTTTTTTTTAAGATTTTATTTTTTATTTATTTTTAGAGAGGGGGAAGGGAGGGAGAGAGGAAGAGAAACATCGATGTGGAGAGATGGCCTCCTGCACGCCCCCAACTGGGGATCTGGCCCACAACCCAGGCATGTGCCCTGATTGGGAATTAAACCAGTGTCCCTTTGGTTTGCAGGCAGGCGCTCAGTCCACTGAGCAACACCAGCTGGGGCAGCTTGAACTCTTGAAGGAATTGATATAAGGCCAGTGTGCTAGAAGAGTATAGTGAGGAAGGAGTTAGCGTGGGTCATGTCCACTCTTGTAGCGCTAGAATAAGGAGTTTTTATTTTAAGTGAACCAAGAAATTATTCTGGAATTTAAGCAGGGAGTGACATGGTACAAAGGTAATTCTGGCTGGGAGGATGGGAATATGGATGGAAGAGAGAAAAAGTAGTTAGAAGGATAAATCAGTTATCCCAAGTAGAGATGTTGGTGCTTTGGAATAGGGTAGAGGCATGATTAAATATAGACATTGGTCAGTGAGCTCAGAGATTAGTGAGTTTTTATACAGAAAGATGAAGGATAAATGTGTATACAGGTGACAAGAGGTAACTTTTAAGTTTACCTGAGCTTTTAATATGTTCCCCAGAGGTACTGCATTTTGCTATGTATAATGTGCACTTTTTGCCCAAATTTTTGAGGAAAAATAAGGATGCACATTATACATGGGTATAATAATGGGTATAATAATCCCGTGTATAATGTGTACTAAAAGCGTGGTTGCATGTAATACATGGGAGTGCATTATACATGGCAAAATACAGTTGAACTAGGTATTGAACAATAATTGAAAGCTGTATGGGAAGGACCCAGAATACCATTTTATAATAATTGAAATAGTGACCATTAAAGGAAAACAACCACAGCCTAATTTTTTAATTTAAATGCCTATTGATGTCATTCTGCTTAAGTCAGCTAATTTTGTCATGTAAGAGTCTTTAAACTACCACCCCTACACTTATTTCTTAGATGGGACTGGATGTGTCTCTGTCAGGCGAATGATTATGGACTCCTGGTAATAGGTTATGTGTTGGAATATTGTCTTCCACAACCAAGTGTGGAATATTATAAAAAATAATTCAGGTATGATGATTCTTAGCCAAAGAGGAAGTACAGGACACCATAGGCATGAGGGTATGTGGTTTAACCTAGTTTGGGGTGGTCAGGGCAGCTTCCCCAGGACATGATATTTCTACTAAGGATTAAGGTGACCAGGAAAGAGTTCACCAGGTAGTCCTGAAATGCATTCCAAACAGGGATTTGCTTGTCAAAGGTTTTTTGAAACCTAAGAGTAGTCTGTGTGTCTGAAATAGGTTGGGATGGTATGAATTGAGATTTGAGTGACAGAGTATTCATAATTTTATGAAGGTGAAAGATGATTTTTTGAAACTCAAGATTATCTTTTCATAGTAGCCTGGAGCTATGTATCTAGCTTTATCACTTTGGACACGTTACTTTCACTCACAGACTTCATAAAGTAAGGTAGGTCCGTGACATTTATGATGATTCTAATTCAACAACTAGATAGAAATAAAGTATAACCTAAAAAAGCCATTTGGGGACAAGTATTTGGTTACTATACCCAGGGAACCAGGTGTGTTACATATAACCAGTTAATGACTTCTAAAAATAATTTTAAACTATGTAAGAAGTGATTTTGTTGTGACTGATACCTAGGTCTTACATCTTAGGCCATTCTACTTTCTAAACTGTATATATGATTTTACCCACATGAAATATATGCTGTTGTTGTTTGGTATTTACAAGGCACATTCACGTTCTTAATAACATTACCATTTTGTGTTTACTTACTGCTAATTTTGTGCTGGGAACAAAAGGCATCACTCCATTTAAGCTCCACAACCTTTGATATAGGTAAAACCACTATAGTGCTATTATCCCCCTTTTGCAGATGAGAAAACTGATATACAGAAAGGTTTAATAATTGCTCAAAGTTACAAGGTTGAGGTAAGTGGTGAAAGGCAACAGTGATGATATTTCTTTAAGTGGCAGACAAGAAAAAAACACCAAAGAGTTTAGTACTTCACTATAAATATGTTCAGATTGCCTGGTAAACTTTATTTTCTGTACAACTTCATGATAAAGTTCAAAGTCCAACTATATATGTTTTTAATGGATTTTAGAGAGAGAAGAAGGAAGAGAGAAACATCAGTTTGTTCTATTTATTTATGCATTAATTTATTGAGACGATGCTCTAACCAGCTAAGCTACTTGGCTAAGGCCTCTCGATATTTGATTAATGGACCTATATATCTGCCCTTTTTAAGAGCTGTTTCTTTAATATTTGAGAATGTGTGAATTTAACAGATACTTTTGTTTCTTTTCAAGCCCTTCTGGTAAACTTGTCCAGATTGAATATGCTTTGGCTGCTGTAGCTGGTGGAGCCCCTTCAGTGGGAATTAAAGGTAATTAAATTTCAGATGCCTGTTAATAGTTATCCAAATGTCCTTATGAAATGAGTTAATTTATAAATAAATAGCTGTGGCAGCATAATTCTTAACAGTTTTTGTTAATTTATACTATTGTGAGGTTTAAAGGAAGTAATAAACCTGAAAAGGTAATTAAATTTTTTTCAAAATAAATATAGCACCTTTATCTACTAGTTTTGGTAATCTAGTCTTTCTCAGTCAGATAACTGAGTATTCTTTCATTTTTCCATTGATTATATATCATTATTCTCTGGCAGTTTTTATCATTCCTGTAATTTAGAAAAGGTTATTTATAAAACAGTCTAAAGATACCCTTTAAAAAAAAGCCTTTGTAATTTATTTTAAATTTTCTGTTATAGGAACAATAGGCCAAGTAGGCAAAATTCCATTATTTTAAAATATGTGGACTCTTAGGTGTCCTGTAATACTTCAAGAAAAGTTGTATAATACTATTAGCTATAGGGATTTCTTAGTGTTAGGAAGAAATTGATTTACTCTTATTTCTTAGGACATTTTAATATAGAAATTCAGAAGAAAAAGTTTTGTAAGTAAGAGGAAATGGGTGAAATGTAGCTATAATTCTAAAACTGTTGAAACAGTCTTTAAAATGATTAAACATTTAGGTGTTGTTTTGTTGTATTTTTAAGCTGCAAATGGTGTGGTATTAGCAACGGAGAAGAAACAGAAATCTATTCTGTATGATGAGCGAAGCGTACACAAAGTGGAACCAATTACCAAACATATAGGCTTGGTATATAGTGGCATGGGCCCAGATTATAGGTATGTTATACTTACATATTAATATTCTCACCATCTCATAATCTGTGAGATGAGACTTGCTCATAATCTATGTTCAAGGAGAAAAAAATTAAGGAGTGTTTATATCCGTTTAATCTCCCAACTCTTTTTTTTTACTTGTTTTGTGTACCAACAGCAGCATCACTGGTGGCTGAATTTAGATTGCTTGTATGTGACAGACTGAGGATTATTTTAAGGAGGACACTCAATGCAAGTTTGTTGTAAAAGAGGGCATAGATACAGCACTTACTCCTCTTAACTTTTATTTAGTAGTTTCTCCCTTCTGATTACAATCCCTCTTCTGCCATCCTAGGGCTGTACTTCAGGGGCTTTGCTGTTTTCTAATGCATTTTATAAACAATAAAAACAATAATAGTTATAATAGGTGTGATAAACTATATTTTAAAAAGTCACCAGGCAGCCCTGGCCTAGTGGCTCAGGTGATTGGCATGTTGTCCCATACACTAAAAGGCTGGGGGTTGATTTCCTAGTCAGGGCACATACCTAGGTTGTGGGTTCAGTTCCCAATTGGGGTGTGTATGGGAGGCAACTGATTGGTGTCTCACATCGATGTGCCTCTCCCTCCCTCCCTCTCTCTCTCCCTCCCTCCCTCTCTCTCTCTCTTTCTGCCCCCCCCTTTTCCACCTCCCTTCCTCCCTCGTCCCCTCCCTCCTCCTTTCCCTCCCTCCTTCCCTTTTCCCCACCTCCCTTCCTCTCTCTCTCAAATCAATAAACACAATTTTTAAAATGTTTGGGGGCAAAAAAGGGATCAAGCAGAAGAAAACATCACCATCCAGAGTTAACTCCATTATATTTCTGGTTTTAGTAAAGAAAGAAAATTCTCAAAGGCCACTGGAAGTTGCAGAATATGGCAGTCATTCAGGGTCCAGATGCATATTTGTTTACTCCTTTTAAATTTCACAGGAGTTAGAGTTACATCAGGGCGCCAGTAAATTGAAAGGAGATTGACAACTTCCAATCTGACATTTAACAGTAAAAAGGAGTATGACTTCATTCTTGATTTATGTGGAACAAGATAGGTAGAGCCAGAATTTCTCTTTAACAAAGTTGAAAGTGGCTGGAATGTGATCAGGCTTCACTACAATGGATCCTGTTACTCTTGTATAGAAGGAATGCCTCAGTGTACTACCATTGACAGAATAAACAGAGAGATCTGGACCTTAGTATTGTATAGGGAGGAAATATACATCAGATCAGTAGTACATGAGCAGATAAAGGTATATCCTATTTGTCTTCCTGTATGTTTGATGGCTATATAGTATATTGATAAATTTTTCATTTTTTTAAGTTATAAGAGTTTTGGCTGTCTGTCAATCTCTGAAAGATACTCTTTGAAAAGTATGTGGAAAAGATTGAAGCAGAATGAGAAAAAAAAATACCTGAAATTTTGTGTGTGTGTATTCACATGTGCAAGTGTATATGTGTGCTGGATTGAGATATAAAACAAGATGACTACCCTTGGGATAAGGAGCACAATCTTGAAACCATGGAGGGAGATGAACTCATTATGTACACTAAATCTGTTATTATTAAGCTAACTTGTACCCTGTCCCTATTTTTTTTTTTAATTTTTTTGCCTCGTCCTTACTCTCCTATGGCACATCTCCTTTGTGACACTGTGATATTTCCTATAAATTAACTGGAATCATGTAAGAGAAAGACTGGCTTCAAGTAGACAGCTACTATTAAAAGAGATATATGTAAAACTTGTGCTGTAGGTATATGCCTTTAGAAGGAGAATGAGTCTTTAGGTAGTAGAGTATCTTAATTTTAATTAAACCTTATTTTTTCCTTATTTGCTAGAGTGCTTGTGCACAGAGCTCGAAAACTAGCTCAGCAATATTATCTTGTTTACCAAGAACCCATTCCTACAGCTCAGCTGGTACAGAGAATAGCTTCTGTGATGCAGGAATATACCCAGTCAGGGTAAGTTGATTTCATTACTTGAAATGTGTTCTGAATTAGAAAAAAATCATTTTAAAAGCATAGATGTATTTAAGAAAAAGAGGACTTACATTTCTGTATTTGTTTAACAAATAGATAAAATCATGAATATGATTAATTTCTCACCTGGAGCTGGAATATTTTCTTAAGGAAAAAATGAATGTGTTCTTGCTATTCATGTTATAGGAGAAAGCAGCAGAAAATAGGTTCTATATACAGTTCTTTTGCCAGTTACTAAAACACACCTTTATACCCAAACAACACTGATGCTTCCAAGTTTATATTCTCAATCAAATTATCATAAGCCCACCATTGAAGCAATAGCTCTTTGACACCTCTGTATTCATTTTAGTTCTATTGAATTTGGGTGTGAATATGGATGAGGTGGTGTAAAGGTACTTGCTAATATATAATGCCAGTGGGAAAGCTGCATTTGTTGAAAGTTGTCATTTTGTTAGGACACTAAATGATACGCCAAACTTATTAAATCTAGTATTTGTGTTACTCCATTTACAAACATGATTTAACTGTGGTTCTGTGGTACCACAAAGAGAATTAATTTTGAATTGATTTATTCAGAAAAGTATTAAACACTTTGTAAGGAACTTACAAGTCTAATATGGTTTACCTGATAATTTGCTTTACTGGAGAGTTTTAATAAATTCCTCCTTAGGTTGACTTTAACAACATGAAGATGCCAAATAATTTTCATTTCTTTCTTCAGTGGTGTCCGTCCATTTGGAGTTTCTTTACTAATTTGCGGTTGGAATGAGGGACGACCATATTTATTTCAGTCAGATCCATCAGTAAGTATTGTCATATGTATTTCAGGGATTTGTTAAATTGGTTCTTTAATATCTAATAAAAACAATAACCATAAAAATTTGTAAATTAGCCCTGGCTGGTGAGGCTCAGTGGGCTGAGCACCCGCCTGGAACCAAAGGGTTGCTGGTTTGATTCCCAGTCAGGGCACATGCCTGGGTTGCAGACCAGGACCCCAGTAGGGGGTATGCTAGCGGCAACCCCACACTGATGTTTCTCTCCCTCTCTGTCTCCCTCCCTTCCTCTCTCTCTAAAATAAATAAATAGAATCTTTAAAAAAAATTAACAGTATTTTCTCTTTCTTTTGGGCTTTAGAAAGCATACAGTAGTGCATATTTATTTGCACATTTGAAGTATTGGTAGTCCAGTCTTCTGTTAAGGAAGCTGCATTAATTCTGCCCTCTCTGTCTTTGTCTTGTTCACTCACTTCATGTAATTGAGTGATCTGTTGAAATAGTTATCTAATCTTTTAAAATATGGAATTCTGTTACTTTGAGAGAGATTGTAGTGAAATACACAGGTTTAGAGGACGCTTTTTACTTTTTTACCATCTGTTTACTCTTGGGGCTGACTGGAGTGTGACCAATCCTGTGCAAACATTGATGTATCTGTCTTGTTTTGCAAAATGTGTGACTTGTCTACTCTAAAGTAGAGAATTGGTCTCTTGAGTTAAAAGGTATATGAATGCTGCTACTCCACATCCATCTCATTTGCTGTAAGGAAAATTGGAAGAAAAAAATCATACTTAGGAACTGATCTTTCATATTTATGGATCATTAGATATTTATAGTTCACCTAATTCACATGTTGTCTGAAAAGGTAAAGAAAAATATTTTGGTTGTTTTGTAAATCAGAAAATGTAAGTATTTTGAGAACTTTGTTGCCACATCTCTGAGTTTCTAATGTAACATAACAAGCCCTCTTACCTTTCCAGTGAGTAGCAGAAGCCACTATGACTGGAATCCAGATTTCATCTTTTGCCCCTTTTTCTCTGTTTTATCTAAAAGGCAGTTGTTTCTCTTAAAATGTTTTGTATTTGTGTGTGTGTGTTCATATATATTTTTTCATTTTTCAACAGATGAAGTCATGACATATTGCTGCTGCTTTCATTGAATTTAATTTATTCACTAGTGATGATGAAGAATTGAGCACCTTTTTTCAGATACATATCAGTTTTGTAGAGTAATCCTAGCAAGCTAAAATATTACTCTTAATTTGCTTTTAGTTAACCTCAGTTTCCTTTAACTGGCTTTTTTACATAAGTTGCGTACAATAAATGGCACATTTTTAAAGGGTGCAATTTGATGAGTTTAACTGTCACCACAATCAAGATACTGAACTTCTCCATTACTTCCAAAAGTTTCTAAATGCCTTTCTGTTACTTATCCCTGGACCTTTTGAAAAAAAAAAATAGCCTACTTTGTGACCTTAGAAGTTTGAGACAAATTATAAATACAAAGCTAGGAAATAAATGGCAGGGTTATAATTAGATTAATGACTTAAATATGGGTTTTCCTTTCTGGTTAGGGAGCTTACTTTGCCTGGAAAGCCACAGCAATGGGAAAGAATTATGTGAATGGGAAAACTTTCCTTGAGAAAAGGTAAGCTAACCATAACTGAATTTATTAGCAAACTTACTTTATGGTTTTCAGCTTTATTTTATTTATTTACTTATTTATTTACTTATCTTTAGGTAATTAATGGCTCGAGTCCAAACAGATTTGTTACATTACTCTGTATTTGAGCCTAGGCACAGATGAAACAAACAAAAAATTCTCCACCCTAGCTCCCTATTCTTAAGTATATTAAGTGGTAATAATAATTTCTTAAGAACTTATTCCATCAAAAAAAAATTAAAGACAGTCAAATTTGAAGAAAACTTTTGGGAAGAAAAATTTTAAGTGATTTAAGTGGTAACATTTTACATTATGACAATTACAAATATAAATTGTGAAGCCAAATACCTGATGTTGATGGTAAATATATGATACACATGCTTGATCAAAAGTGGAGCAGTGTAAAAATCTGCTGTCACTGCCATAGCACAATACATTGCTTTCAGTTATTTCCATTTGTATTCTAGACTCAGTGTTACTGTAGTCCAACAAAAAATGCCCTACATTTTGAATGGGAAAAGTTGTAATTGACTTTAACAGATGACCCTTCTTGGTACATTTCTGCATAGTGTTCAAGTTGCTAGCAGCTTTAGATGTGGGATTAAGTGGTAAACTTAAATAATTTTAGAACTTAAAGCACTTTCATTTTTACTTTTACATATTAATAATGAGTCTTTAAAACATTTCACAGAGGTACAACGTACAAGAACAAACAAGGAATTTTAGCAATGTTTTCTCTGCTTTGTTTTTGAAAATTATTATATTGCCACCACATTCTGATTATATTGAACTATTTATACTTAAGAAGTTTGCTAAAATAAACTCATGTTGGGAATTATCTTAATGAGAATGCATCCTAAATTATTGTCAGTTTCTTACTTGGCAGCTGCCTCAATGAGGTGACTAAAATAATAATCCATAACTTAGTATTTTAAGAGTGCTTTAGATTTTTTAAAAGTCTTAATAAGCTGTTGCTATCACTGTGTTTAAATGTAATTATAAATAATATAAATAGTACTGTAAATTATTGTTATTTTTTCCTTCAAAAAATTCTAGATACAATGAAGATCTAGAACTTGAAGATGCCATTCATACAGCCATATTAACCCTGAAGGTTAGTTCAATATATACTATTTGGATTTATAATGAATTTATAATTGACTTTTGGAAAATTGATCTTTTTTCCTTCTTCCTCAATAGGAAAGCTTTGAAGGGCAAATGACAGAAGATAACATAGAAGTTGGAATCTGCAATGAAACTGGATTTAGGAGACTCACTCCAACTGAAGTTAAGGATTACTTAGCTGCCATAGCATAATAATGAAGTGACTGAAAAATCCAGAATTTCAGATAATCTCTGTACTTAAACATGTTTAAAGTATGTTTTGTTTTGCAAACTTTTTGCATACCTATTTCTACATGATTTAATGGACTGATGTTTTTAAATGACACTTATAAATCATAATAAACTGTTAAATCCAACTTCCAGCTTTTTAGGAGTTAGTAAATTTTTTAAAATAGTAATTTTCCTGCTTTATATCACAGTTGATTTCTGGAAACTACATTGCAAATCAGAATGGTGAAATCACTCTTTAGTCTTTATGCAGTTTGGTTAAGTCAGATCTTACTACCCTCTTTACTACCAGATATTGTCGATGCTGTTTTTGGTAAACACTACTTTTAGAGCTGAGAGAATCTGCAGACTTTCATGAATTCATGAAATGAGGTAGGAAACACAGATGTTTCTTAGGCACCATTAGGTGTGAGTCAGTAAAACCCGAGAATGTTCTATGAGGTAAAACTGTAGCTTTGAAAAGTACTATGCCAAATAGTCTCCTATAAGAGACATACTGTGTAAATCAGTAAATTATGTTCTGGTTCCTGTTGGTTTCTTCATCACAAGTAGATAAATGTATTCTAAAAGAACTCTTTAGTTTTACTAGACTTTTAAAGTCAAGGCTGGATGGACATGAGTGCTGGAAATAAAGTACTAATAATTAAGTGCCAAAACTATGGTTTAAGACTCCCTCATTCATGTAATCTCAGAGTAATCAGAACCTTTACTGCAAGGTAAGGCCCATACAAGCAAGCAAATTATAAGAGAGTATCTGAACTCTGTTTTTATTATACATGAAGACATAATGTAGTTTTCATTGTCTTTTTTTAAGGCATCTTAGGATAAGGGAAATCACATCAGTAGTCTGGCTCACAGAACATAGGGAGAATTTATGAATGTCATTCTCACTAGCAGAATACTAGGCATTTCCATGATTTTAGTGTAGTTCAAAAGATGTTGACTAAAATGAAGCAAACTTCAGGGAAAAAGTGTTTTAGAGCGTTTTTGTCAGGATTCCCAGTTCTGCCCACCATGACTATGTGGCAGAAGCATTATTATGGTACATGCCTACTTATTATTTCAAATTGTCTTGAAAACCTCATCTAATAATCTTTCCTATGGGCTCTTAGTGTATTGTGAATCCAGCACACTAGAAAGAGAAGGTAGTGATAAGCAGGGATGATTTTCAGAGTCGGGTCTCACCTCTCCTACTTACTGGCTAAGTGATTGCAAGGTAATTATCTCAGAGGATTTTCTAAAACTAAATTTGATAATGCAAGTGGCAAGGTTAGTGTTTTGGTTAAGTACTCTTAAGTTTTTAAGCCTTTGAATTTGCTCTCTAATGTCCCACATTAGAAAACTAGAGGAATACCAAAATTCTACAAATTGAAGGGAAAACAAAGGCATTTACATTTAGGACAAATAGGAAACCACGTGGATATTCTTTCAGAATAAAAGGAAAATTTAGCTGAAGCAGATTTTGTCTAGAGTTGACTCTCTTCCTCTTGCTTAATTAAATGTGAAGCACAGTTAATTGAAGCTGTTTATTCTTTTCAGTGATTGTAATAAACCCTAGGTTCTGGCTGGGTAGGTCAGTTGGTTAGAGCATCATCCCAATATGCCAAGATTTTAGGTTCAATCCCTGGTAACAGCACACAGGAGAATCAACCAATGAATGCATAATTAAGTGGAACAACAAATGCTCCCTAGCTCGCTATCTCCACCCCCTCCTTCTCCCTCTCTCTCCTCTAAAATCAGTATGTAAAAAAATAAGCCCTCCTTTTATCCAAGTTACTTGGTTTAACAACCGATTCTCCTGCATCCCTAAATGTTCCAAAATTCTGGTCATTTCTAGCCTGTAGATTCTAGCTTCATAAGTATCAAAACACTCCTAATTGTCATAGTCCCTCTATTTTTGGTTCAATTTGCATCTTAAAAATTTTGTCTCTGCTTGCTCCTTTTTTCTAGTTCCTCACTAATCCATGAATTTAAATGGGCAAAACAATTATTAGCAGTGAGACATGGAAATATTTAAAATTCACAACGAAAGGTGGAATAAAGAAGGCTAATACTGATCTTTACAATTATTGAGTGCTGTTTAGGCACTGATCAGGTGATAGGGGTGTTCAGGAGTTTTCATCTATTCAATTCTGTTCATGGACCAAAAGAGCCAGTCTCAGTCCTTAACCTTACCACTTTGGTCTCTCCTTGCTGTTGAAGGCAAGTGCTCTATCATAAAGGAACACAAACTTGGATGAAATAAGGTGAAGGGATTAGCCAAAGAACATATAAGCATATTTCACAGATACAGACAACAGTGTAGTTGGAGTGGGGAGAGCAATGAATGGAGGTGGGCAAGTTGGGAAAAATGGGGACATCTGTAGCTGTCAACAATTAAAAAAAACCCTAAAACTTTGAATATTTAATGAATTGTCCAAGAACTTAAGAGTTTGGAGCTCCTTTGATTTAGAATTCCAATTTCTTGAAACCCAGTCCATTGGGCTTGTATTAATGTTAAATTGCCTCACATGGTTTCTTCAATTATAACTCTATTGACTCTCAAGGACCTTACTAAAGAACAAGCCGTACCTATTGCCATGAACAGTTAGATAACTGTTTAAATAATTTAAAAGATAATTTTAACACTTCATCAAAAGCCGTTTCCCTGAGTTTCATCACTTGTAACTCTTTGGGGTATTTCATTATGTATTCCAAAATAGTAGGCTTACATGATTGTTTCTGGGTTCCTGAAGTTTAGCCACCAAATAAAGTATTCTGCAAGATGGGAATTTAAAACACTTATATCATCCTCACTTTCCCTCTCTGGCTCGATTTTTGTTAGATCATGATGTTTTAAAGTATGGCTGTGTAAGTATATTTTAATTACATTTTCTAAATTTTCCTGGAGGTGATATAACCTCACTCTTTCGTTGGCTTTGTTTTCTGTGTAGCTATTACTAACTGCCAGTTTTCTTCAACAAGATTGTATAAACCTCTGCATACTGTTTCTTATGGTCAGATATCAGGTACTCTAACAACTCTTAGCCCAAACCTTCAAACCCACACCTCCAACATGGTTCCAAGAAGTTTCTTGGAACTGTCTGTCCTTGGTTAGCAGGGTTTAAAAATTCTAGGTTAGAAATAATTATGTCTGCCTTTTGAAAACATTAATTTACTCCCATCTGGATTCCAGTGTTGCTGATGAGAAGTCTAATGCTACTGTTATGTGTGATGCCAAATCCAGGGGTTGTCCAACCTTTTGGTGTCTCTTAGCTATACTGGAAGAATTGTCTTGGGCCACATATTAAATACACAAACACGAAAACTGATAAGCGCAAAAAAAAAAGTTTTAGCTAAATTTACAATTTTCTCTTGGGCTGCCTTCATAGTCATCCTGGGCTATATGTGGCCCAGGAGTAGTGGGTTAAACACCGCTGCACTTATTTGTCCCCTTTGCCACTCGTAAGATTGATTCATTTATCAACAATGTTCTGAAATCTCACAGTGAGATGCCTCTGTGTGGGTTTCTTAAGAGTTTGTATCTTTCAGATTAGCTGCGACCTTTGCAGGGTTAACATTGTGCTGAGTTCTCAGCAGGGCATTGCACTGTAGAAACTGGTACCTTTCCAGTTTGGATAAATTTTCTAGTATTGAGAAATTACCTCTTCATTTTCTTTGTTTCTGAAACTTCTATTGGCCCTTTTTGTTGGGGGCCACCTTTTTATTCTACTTTTTGGGAAGATTTTCACCCACTTATCCTATTTTTCTATGGATGTTTAAGATTTGGGGTAATTTTTATTTTGAAGAATTCATTCCTATACTTTATCACCTCTCCTTAAAGACAAATTATCTTGATTCGTGACTAATATCTTTTATCTGAAAATGCAAAAGAATATTTTTGAAGCTTTTGTTCTGCATTCTGTTTCCTTCAAATTCTAAACAGGAAATGGAAGTGCTGTTTGTGAGTGAGTCGCAAATCTACTTATTGGGAGATGATGAATATCAGTATAAACCATTTTCTCTATGGTCTTTCATTTGCTCAGTTTCTCCGGAATAAAGGGGTTTTTAGGTGATGGTAGCACATGGCAGGTAGAATGGGAGAGGAGTGCCAGCATTCTGGAAGGGACAGAGAAGGGACCCATAGCATTTCACCATTCAACAGGAAAACTTTCACTCTTCATGACATGTCTAGAACCCTCTGCTTCCCTATCTTCATCGTAATAAATTAGTTTTCTGCCATGCTGCACAGAATGGGAGAGAGAACTTAGGTGTTTTTTTTTCTTATACAGACTTCAGCAATGCCCATTTTCAATCCTGCCTCACTGCTCCCTTCTGCCTTCCAGGCATGCGTCTGCAGCTTCAAAGCCATTCTGCCGTTCAGCTTTGCAAATCACTTAATGGGGATGGGATGGTGTTCTCCACTCCTAACTCCCTGTCTTCAGAGAGGCTGCTTGTGTTCAAATAACCTCTCCGTGGCATACTTAACTGTAAAATATAGACATAACCCTTTAGGTTGTTGGAAAATTGAATAAATTTATACGTGAAGAGCACTTGGAATAATGGCTGCCATATAGAACATCAAATAATTACTACTGCTCTTTGTTTTCCAAAAGTGTCAGGTGCAGTCTTCTCGTTCTTTTTGTTTTTTGGGGGTTTATCCTGTTTTCATTTCTTTAGTGCCATTGAAGTAAGGTTTGAGGAAGGCATACATAGTATTAATTTTAACTTGAAGTCTTAATTTTTAAAGTTAGCTTTAATGAAGGCCTAACCTTTCTGGGTGACTTTGGGCACTCTACTAGGCTAATATAAATTTCCCAGCCCCGAAGAAGTCACCTGATCATTTGTTCTCTTTTGAAGAGGGGCAGCTTATCTCTTTATCCCACTTTCTTTGGAGATGCTGTATGGTGTAATGGAAAGTGCTTTGGCCACCCAAGAAAGGTTGAACCGTGATTAGGTGCTAAGGCGCGGGGTCAGCCTCCTGCGACCCTGGAGATGGAGTTTTCGGCGCTGCAGTTACTGTAGGTAGAGCCCTGTGAACTGCGCCTTTCCACCTTTCCTCCTTTCCTAGGGTCTGGTGGCGGCGCGTCTACAAGCGGAAGTGGTAGAAGCCAAGTGCCATCAACAAACATGGCAGTCATGTGAGCCTCAGCCCCGCTCGGGAGGCCGCACTGCTGCCTGGGAATCGCGGTTCTGCGTCACCCGGCGCAGGACTACGTGACGCTGAAGGCGACAGAGGCGGTGGGGCGCGGGCTGGAGAGCGGCAGCGGCCTGAGTGGGGCGTCGGCTGCCGCGTGAAGTTTCCCAGTGGGCCGCAGTCTGGCGAGCGCATGTGCCCGCTGCTCGCGGTCCTAGGCTCAGCCGGTGAGGAGCTGGGGGAGGGAAGAAGGGAGGGAAGACGGGCGCCCCTTTGAAGCCTGGAGGGGGCTGAGCCGAGCCAGTCTCGGTGGAGGGTGGCCAGCGCTGGGCCTACGCGCCCTCTGCGCGCCCTCGCTCCACGCCCCGACCACAGAGTTGTTTGAGCCCAAGCCTGGCAGGTCTCGGCGGTACTGGTGGATTGCTCAGGGCCGATACCCACCCGGAAGGCCTTGCCGACTTCGGGGCTGCCCCGGACTGTACCATAAAGTTTAGTTGATCTTAGTAGTAGGAGAGGGAACCAACCTAGTGGGCTCCTTCTATCTTTAAAATATGCTGGTTGGCGTTAAATGCAGGAATGAGGAGCGTGTACAGTGTGCTCCTGTGTAATCGCCGTTAAAGGAGACCCACTCATGAAGGAGAAGATTAGAAAGCCTCAGTGTGGTCATATTAGGGGAGAGAGTCTTGCTTTGGACAATTTGCTAATATCTGTATATAGTTTAATTTTAATCATTTGGAAAGTCTTTACTTTCCAAGCTTTTAGAAAATTTCTGTACAACCAAAGACTAAGACTGCTGATACGGAATCCCTTACAAAGCACATTGTGAACTCTTGCATTTAATCCCGAGCCGGGACATTCTGTAGAGCCTATGATCTTCAAGCTGAAGAAATAAAGATCTAAAGTTTCAAGAATTCTAGCACAGCTAAGGAAGCGTTCAGAAGTAAAAGCTGTTTTGTTTTGTTTTTTTTCAGTTGTCAGAGGAGGGAGCACTCCAAAACCAGATATGCAGAAACTCAGTTTCCTATACTCAGCCTTCATAAGCTTTGTTGCAAGATTGAAGTTTTGTAATCTTCACCATAATTTTTGAGAACTTTAAATTTGCCTTGTTTTTTTTCTTTTGATAGGAAAGGAATAATGCTGTCAGCATGTCTGCACACTCCATGCTCTGTGAACGGATCTCCATAGCCAAGGAACTGATCAAGAGAGCAGAATCACTTTCCAGATCAAGAAAAGGTGGCATTGAAGGTGCTGCAAAGCTGTGCAGCAAATTGAAGGCTGAATTAAAGTTTTTACAGAAAGTAGAAGCTGGGAAAGTAGCCATTAAGGAATCCCATTTACAGAGCACTAATTTAACACATCTAAGAGCCGTAGTGGAATCAGCAGAAAACCTGGAGGAAGTTGTTAGTGTTCTCCATGTTTTTGGTTACACAGATACCTTGGGAGAAAAGCAGACCCTTGTGGTTGATGTTGTTGCAAATGGTGGTCATACTTGGGTGAAAGCCATTGGCCGAAAGGCTGAAGCTCTGCATAATATTTGGCTGGGCAGGGGCCAGTATGGTGACAAAAGCATTATTGAGCAAGCTGAAGATTTCCTGCAGGCCAGTCACCAGCAGCCAGTGCAGTATAGCAATCCTCACATCATCTTTGCGTTTTACAACAGTGTCTCCAGCCCCATGGCAGAGAAGCTGAAAGAAATGGGCATATCTGTGAGAGGAGACATAGTAGCAGTTAATTCTCTGTTAGATCACCCTGAAGAACTCCAACCCAGTGAGAGAGAATCAGATGACGAGGGCCCTGAACTTCTCCAGGTGACCAGAGTAGACCGAGAAAATATACTAGCAAGTGTTGCATTTCCTACAGAGATTAAGGTTGATGTGTGCAAAAGAGTAAATCTGGACATTACAACTTTAATCACATATGTATCTGCCCTCAGCTATGGAGGTTGCCACTTTATCTTTAAAGAAAAAGTGCTCACAGAACAAGCAGAACAAGAGAGGAAAGAGCAGATTCTACCACAGCTTGAGACATTTATGGAGGACAAGGAGCTGTTTGCTTGTGAATGTGCTGTCAAGGATTTTCAGTCTATTCTAGAGACTTTAGGAGGACCTGGGGAGAGAGAGAGGGCCACTATGCTAATTAAGCGAATCACTGTGGTGCCAGACCAGCCTTCTGAGCGTGCCTTGGGACTAGTAGCCAGTTCAAAAATCAATAGTCGTTCATTAACGATTTTTGGGACAGGGGACACCCTAAAAGCCATCACAATGACTGCCAATAGTGGTTTTGTCAGAGCTGCCAACAACCAGGGTGTTAAATTTAGTGTGTTTATCCATCAACCCAGAGCACTTACTGAGAGCAAAGAGGCTCTAGCCACCCCCTTACTAAAAGACTACACAGGTGACACTGAATATTGATGATATCCTTTAAATATTATTGTGGAAATAAGTTTTTATACCAGAGGCTGGGTCTTCCTATCTTAATTGGAAAAAAAAGTTTGTAATAAAAATAACAACTTAGAATTCAAATAAGTAGTGTTGATTTGCTTCTCATCTATAAAGTATATAACTTCCTAAAATAGAAAAAACACAAGAGACAACATTATTTATCAAACTGTTTACATTATAGTAATTAGGAACAGAAGTGTATATGTAAGGCTTTTAGCTGTGTCACAATGCTTTTATTTGATTCAGTAGGGCTACAACCCCACCTACTGGTAATCACATTTCATGGACTATGGCTACAACTGCATCTTGCATTAAATACCTGGTGAAAACTGAACCTTGTTTTTTATTATATGGTTTTATCCATTGATAATGGGTTGAGGCTGAGAGATGATAGTGTGTAATTAATTTTAGATTCTAAATTTATGGACATTATAAATGACAAACTGCTATGTGTCAGGTGTAGTCTGGGTATGTTTACAAAAATTAATATAGAATAAAGTAAATTCTTTTTTGTTTTTCTTTTTAAAAGTAAATTCTGATCTTGCAAGTCCTATGGACCTTTTGATACACCTTTGTGAAAAGAAGGACAACAATTGCACTACTATAAACCTAGGACGTATAAGATAAAATATTAATTTGAACAAATTGAAAAAGTTATATAAAACGTAAAAAGAATTCAGATCTTTTAAGTACAAATAGTTCCCATGTTGCAGATACATGACTTAAGAATCCTACTTTCCCTTTTTCTTTTGTAAGTGGCAAGTGACAACTGTATTGTTTCACTGTTGTGAAATAGTGGCAGGGAGATTTCCATACATGGTAAATGATACCAGGTATGGTGTCATTTGTAATTGAGAAGAAATTTTTATATCCAGGATGTACTAAGTACTTAATTAATTTGTAACAAAGCTAGCAAATTAGCAAAGTAGGTATGTGTTCACATTTTAAAAATGGGAAAATTGAGCCTAAGGGCTTAAACTAAGTGTGGGACCCAGTATTATATGATTTTATGTCATCACAGCCTAACCTTCTACTATGCCAACTCCTATTTTATGAGAAGAGAAACCCAATTTCCAGCCACAATGTTTGATGGGGAGGTGTAATTTGATTATTGGGGCCCATGAACATTCTGAAATGAAGTGTAAAATTAAATGTATGGAGTGTTTTTCTTAGGAGAGATTCTGTTACTCAGAACATATTTTCTAGGGGAGAAGGCTGTGATTGGTCTTCCAATTTAGTGTAGAGAGGTATACAGGGTACAGCAGAATGGCCACTTGAATGTGGTTGGTAGGGTAATAATAGAGGTATAAAAATGTATAGTTTTAATTGAACATTTCACCTAAAATGATATATCGTGTGCTTGAGTGTGATATTGTTATGTTACAGAATTACATGCTTATGATTTTGTAATAAAAGATTTTGTAATAAAGTGTTATTTGTGCCGGACCCTGTATTTAACTTGCATTGCAACTAAAATCTAATGTTGGAAATTGGACTTGGGCTTTTTGGAGCACCCATTAAAGTCCTATTAAGTACTTATTACTGTAAGCATTGAACATTGTACTAGTTTGGTAAGAAAGAATTAATCTTTTGTGTAAGGAATTCTTAGTCTAAAGTGGAGGTAGACAACTGAAGTATAATTGTGTTAAAATCTCTAAATGAGTTATGTTTAAAACTATGGTAACAGTAAGATAGTAATTTTTGCTATGGAATCAGGAAGTCTGAGAGGAAGTGACATTTGAGGGTTCTTAGTGTGAGATTTCCTAAGACGTGTACAGGGAATGAGTAGGACTAGAAAGGTACAGAAGTGATAGGAGGGCCTATTTAAAAGTCTAAGCTCATGTCGACAGTTTATAAAAAATGAAACTAGGAAAGTACAAGTTCTCTCCAGAGTGGCATTAGAGAGCCATTGGCAATTTTTAAGAAGCTCCTTTGTACGCAACTGTCTTTCTCTTGCTGCTCTTAAGATTTTATATTTAATCTTTGCTATTTTAATTATGATGTGTCTTGGTGTGGGTAATTTATAGTCCATCATTTTTTAAAAGGTTATTTATTTTTAGGGAGATGGAAAGCAAGGGAGACAGAGAAGGAGAGAAACGTTGATGTGAGTGAGAAACACAGATTGATTGCCTTTTGTACATATTCCACCCGAGGACTGAACTTGCACCCCCGGCTTGTGTCCTGACCAGAATCAAATTACTGAATTTTCACTTCTTGGGACTCTGCCCAACCAACTGAGGCACACAAGTCAGGGCCTTTTTGGGTTTATGTTGATTGGGACTCTGCCTGTATTTTCTGGATGGGTGTGCCTTTCTCTTTCACCAGGTTATGGAATTTTTCAGCCATTATTTCTTTGAATAGGTTCTTGATTCCTTGTTCTCACTCTTCTTTTGGTACCCCTACAATACATACTGTTACACTTGATGTTGTCCCAGAGGTTTCTCAGATTTTCCTCATATTTGTTAATATTCTTTTATTCTTTTTGTAGCTCTGCTTGGGTGTTTTCTGTTTTCTCATCCACTAAATCACTAATTCAGTCCTTTGCTTCATCTAAACTGCTGTTGATTTCTTCCAGTCTGTTTTTTAAAATTTCAGATGCTATATTCTTTATTTAGTTTCTATGTCCTTCTTAATGCTTACTATCTCCCTTTGGTTTTAAGGTCTTACTGATATCCATTTTTCCTCTCATGTCCTTGGGCATTCTTAAAACCATTGTTTGAACTCTGCATCTGGTATCTTGGTTGCTTCCATTTCATTTAATTTTTTTCTTAAGATTTTTAAAGTTTTAAAAAAAATGTTGGGCCTGCTGCTTTTTCTACCTATTTTGTGTGCCTAATGGTGTTTGTCTCTGTGTATTAGGTAGATATGCTATGACTCTTGATTTTATTATAGTAGTTTTATACTGTAAATGTCTTGTGGGGGTCAGTGGCACAATCTTCCAGTTCTCCTGAGCTAGATGTTCCAGAAATATCTCTTGTGTGGTACATGTGTGCCTTACTATTTTAGTTGAGCCTTGAATGCTGTTGGCTTATTTGTAGGTGGGGTTAACCTTCAGGTTGGCTATAAGGATGACTTCATCAAAGTGTATGAAAGCAGGCACTGCCCCTCAAGGTATAATTGTTCCTAGCAGGATCTGGTGCTTGCCAGGGCCTCCCTTTGGGTATTCCATTTGTGTGGCTTGTTGGGTCTAGCTCTGGTGTTATCTGAAGCCCACCACTGGTTGTGTTGGTTCCGGTCCACTTGGGAGGGATTCTGGTGCAGGTTGGTATTAGACACAGCCTGTAACCAGCCTTGGGCTACCCTTCTGGAGCTACCACACTGTTCATTGTTTGTGGCTGCCTATATTGGGTCTAGGTGTGCCTGGGAGGGGCCAAGCTATATATAAGGCTTGGCTTCCTTTAGTCCTGAGCCAAGGGTAAATCAGTTAAAGGCCCAAAGCATCCCAAGGTTCATCTCTATCTGTCTTTTGCTCTACCACCCCCCGAGGTTGCCTGGTGTTTCTCAAGAGCATTCTGATGTAAGATTATAGAGTGGGCTCAGGCTGGCTGAAACCTGCACTCTCTTCCACATGGTGCAATTTTGATTAAGTGTGGTAACTAGGATCTTGAGGATGGAGCTAGCAGCTCTCTTGCATGGTGGGGCAGAGTAATCAGGCACCAATAGGAGGAAAGTGGCCTCTTCTCCACATCCATACCACTCAGCCTCTGCTTAAGTCTTTATCCCTTACTCTGCCAAAAGGTGTGCACCATTGGTTCAGGTAAAGTGTAACTACCCAGCCCCTTTGCAGGAGTGATCTCAGCAGGGGCAGGCCACCAGGAGTCAGAAGGACAGATTAAGTAAGTCTCATGTTTGGGAAATGGCATCAGCTGCATCTTCATGGATGAGGGGAAAAAGGGCCTCCAAATCAGAGCTTCACAATCCAGTGAATGTCTGAGTCCTTGAAGAGGGATTGGTGTGCTCCACAGAGCTTGGACTTTCAAAGCAATTCTCCCTGCGCGGCTGCCAGTCACAGAGTCTCACTCCATGTGTAAGTTGGGTAGGGCAGGGCCCCAGGGAATCTTCAGGGCAGAGCTAGTGTAGTTCACCAGGAAAATGCCATGTGGGGTCGGGGACTGCTCAAAACAGAAAAGGTGGCACATGTGGGATGTGAAAAAAGATCGCCCTTTTTGGGGACCACTTTGTGTGGTATCAGGCACTGTAGCCCCGCACAAGCCAGGCCTTGAGAAAGGGTCTGTAAGTTTCAACCAGACAGACATAGCACCGAGGTTTCCCATGGGAAATCTGGCCTAAAGAGTGCATTACATTTACTGAAGCTTGCTCTGCTTTACACTGCCCTGTAAGGAAAAACCAAGTGTTTAGTCTCAAAGCAAGGGAGAAGATCCCTGGGCCCCTGAACCTTAGTTTAATGGCCATCTGATGTCAGTGTGTCTAACAGACCCTTACTGTTCCTTTTGCTGTTATCTTTAGTTCTCTGAAGTGGATTGATAAGGTTTGCATGCATGTATGCTGTATACCCATATGCATAGCATATCATTCTCAATAAAAGCCATTTCAGAGAAGGGCTCAGGAAATTCTCCACTGGAGGGAATCGCCACCCCTTCTCCTGATAGGCAAATTGTGTCTGGTACAGTTTATTTCTTCATCTGCAGCAACTGGGGAGACTCTGCAGGACAGAACCTCTCCCAGCCCTTGCTCTCAAGCAACACAACTCTGTTTCTCTCTGTGTGTTGTCAAGGATCTGCTAGTGTAGCTCAGGCTAATGAGATGAGGCGGCATTGCTTTACCCAGGTAAGATGGCGCTTGTGAGGCATACTGTAAGAATACTTAACACAGGAGTTTTGGAGGGTTTTTCTCCATCTCCTGTCCCAAGACCATATAACTCAGTCTCTGCCTTTATGACTCCAGTACCCCTCAAACTACTGTTCATCAGACAAAGCCCAGGGTGAGTGACTACAAGTGAGAGTTTGTGTGTTATCTCTTTAAGAGGACACCTAGGTTTACAGCAGCCTTTTATCCCACCCTGGTAGATGGAATCTTGGCTGATTTGCAGTCACATATTATGTGGAGTCTTCCTTCTGGCACTGGTGCTTTGAGCTGGGGAGCTCAGTGAGACTGATACCCGTTGCTCCTCAGAAGGGACCTCAGAAGCTGAGATTTCCCTCTGTATTCTCAGCCACATCACATGGATGCAGGGCCATCTCATTTGGCATTTCCACCTCTCCAGAAGACGTTTCAATGAGGATTCTTCTGTATATCCTTAGTTGTATGACTTATACTCAGCTTGTATTTAGTTGTTATCTAGGTTGGTCTATAACTTAGTTGTAATTTTAATGTGGCCATGGGAAGAGGTGAGTGAAGCTTCCACCTACTTTGCTTTTTGGATGTTTTGCATTCATTTCTGTTAGGTATGTTCCCAAGTGTGTTGTTTTTATTTTTTAAATGTTCTTAAGCTTTTCTTATTCCATATTTTTATTTGGCCTACTCCAAGGTGAAAACCTTGTTTCTCCATTTTATGAAGGTTTTTATTCATTTGCTCTATCATATTATACATACACAATACTTCCAGAATTACAACTACAAACTTAGTAATTTGAATATTTTTTCCCTTTTTTTATTGTTGTACAATTATAGCTGTCCCCATTTCATCCTCATTACTCCCCTCCCCGACCCATGTTCCACATTCAGTCCTCCTCCCGCATTGTTTTTGTCCATGGGTTCTTTATACATGTTCCTCGATGACCCTTCCTGATCTTTGCCCTGTTATACCCCTCACCACTCCCTTCTGGTTACTGTCAGTTTATTCTTTATTTCCATGTCTCTGATTATGTTTTGCTCCCTTGTTTGTTTTGTTGATTAGATTTCACATATAGGTGAGATCATATGGTATTTGTATTTCACCATATGGCTTATTTCACTTAGCACAGTGCTCTCCAGTTCTATCCATGTTGTCACGAAGGGTAGTAGTTCTTTCTTCCTTTCTACTGCATAGTATTCCATTATGTAAATGTACCACAGTTTTCTTATCCACTCATTTACTGATGGGCACTTAGGCTGTTTCCAGCACTTGGCAATTGTAAATAGCACTGCTAATGAACATTGGGGTGCATTCGTTCTTTTGAATTGGTGTTTCAGGGTTCTTAGGATATAATCCCAGCAGTGGGATCACTGGTTTGAAAGGCAGTTCTATCTCTGTTTTACTGAGGAAATTCCATGCTGTTTTCCATAATGACTGCACCAGTCTGTATTCCCATCAACTGTGTATTAGGTTTCCCTTTTCTCCACTGCCTCCCCAACACACTTGTTTGATGATTTGTTTATGATAGCCACTCTGGCTGGTGTGAAATGGTATCTCACTGTGGTTTTAATTTTCATTGACCACGAACTTACACCATACACAAAAATAATTTCAAGATGGATAAAAGACTTAAATATGTCACGA